ATGCAGGGTGAGTGAGCACGACTTCAGATCAATTTTTCACCAAAAACTGATATCAAGAACCTTTATTAATCGCTCCTACAGGTGAAGATCGAATTGGCTATGGCAGTAGCAATAGGAGAAAGCAAGAGCAGAAGATGGCGTTAGTCCAACTGCAGTTATCTTCTCTCTTGTATCAGTAATCTGATTGGGTGAATTGGGGTTTGCCCTTCTCCTCTATTTATAGCCTTAAAGAGAGGTTTGGCATATTAAATACAGCTCAATCCGCACCTAGTGCAGTTTCATAATCGAGTCTAGGGGTCAGGTGTAACATTCCAGTTTTGCCCATCTATCTCCAAGGTCCAGGGCAATACTGGAATTCTAGTCTGGTTCAGGGTTTCAAGAAAACCCGCACTGCATGTACCTCAGGTCCCACCCGAGCAACTGAGACAAGCCACCCCAACCAATTCAGCGGCACATTAGTGTCAACCTTGGCAGGATAAATCTCCCTAGATCTATCCAACAGCTGTGAAGATTATAAACTAACACGAGTCTCATATGTGTCCAGTTTAAGGGTATTACACAGAAACACACCATAATAAAATGAATCAAATATGTACTTTATTCATTTACATTAAATGTCATAAGGTACATCAATCTGATTGGAATTAAGGGCATACACTGTCTAACACAAAGTTGGGTATTTTTTTTCTATTTTGATAAATTTCACAACATTCTTTTTTGATAAATTTTAGGCCCCATGGTAAAATTAGTTTTGTTGGTAATATCCATATCACCACAATTTTGCCCATTTTAAAATTGGATTTAGCTGAACAAATGTTTCATAAGAAACATTTAACTAAATAAGTGCACTTATCAGGATAAATAACCTTTTTGAGAAAAGAATAAAGACTGGGTATAAATGCATGTCATGTGCTTTCGTTTCGTGTGTAATGCAAGAGGTGCAATGCAGTTTAGATTGGTTTCCCTTTTTTATAGTGGCCATATGAAATTAAGGCCCCGTTTGATTTGCAGAAATAGGGGTTTGGAATCAGAATTAGAATGTGCTATTCCAATTTCATCAACAGTTTGGTTGGGTGGAATCAGAATCCCATTCCCATTCCTGTTAGAATGGCATTCCCCTATTTGAGGGAATGGCCATTCCCTACCTTTTCTCTTGGGAATGAAATCCTATTCCTTCTTATTTCAAATATCATTCCCATTTCTATTTGAACCAAACAGACTATGGGAATAGACCATTCCAATTCCGATTCTGATTCTGATTGTGAACCAAACGCATCCTAAGGCTCCGTTTGGTTTGTGGGATAGGGATAAGAAAAAAGGAATATTCCAAAAATATTCCCTATTCTCTCATTTGTTTTGAGGGAAGTAGAGGGATGTGATGAGAAAAATGTGGGTTTCAGATCCCAAAATCGTGGATTTGGGGCCGCACCAAAACCGTGCAACTCTGGTGGAAAATTTTGAGTAATCAATGTTACCATTGACAACGAAGAACTAGTGCGACCTCCCCTTCCCTATTCTAACCCAGAAGCAGAGCAACGGTGACAGGTTCTTTTTATTCTTCTACTAGCTCCCCTTTCGAACTGCTACCTTCCCGGTTCGAACCCAGAAGCAAAGCAATGGTGGTAGCTTCTCTTTCTTCTTCTTCTCCTACCTCCCCTTTCAAACCCAGATCTGCTACCTTCGTCGTTCGAACCCAAAAGCAGAGCGACGACAGTGACTTCTCTTCCTTCTTTTTCTGCTACCTCCCCTTTCGAACCCAGATCTGCTACCTTCCCTGCTCAAACCCAGATTTGTGGTACCGTTCATCATTCATCGTCTTCGCTTTTCGCTGGCAAACCACTGTTCGTCTTCATCTTGGTGAAACAGAGCACCCCACGGTGGCTTCCTCTTCGCTACAATGCTTTTCCCATTATTTTCTTGCATCTAAAACCAAAAAATGGAAGTATAAATTTTTACACTTTCCCATCCCATCCCATCTTTTCCCATCCCACCCAATTCTTCCCAGAAACCAAACAGAGCCTAAATGTTTTCAAATTCCAAGGAAGCCTACTTTGAAGTCAGGGGTGGGTTGTAACTGTGAGTTAGTGAACTTGGAAGGTTGTTCACCAAAAAAATAAAAATAAAAATAAATAAATAAACCTTGAAAGATCTGACCGGGTATAAGGGTGGCATTTGGTCGGGCAGCTTAACATTTGTTACCAAACCCTTCCTTTAAAAGATATGTAGCACTAGGTTTACCGCCAGTAGAACAGAAGAAGGGCAGAAGGGAATTTCTCGGTAGTTAAGGCGAGAGAAATCAATGGCAGATGTACGTAACAAAAATAATAAGGGAATTATGACAATTTGACCGAGAGTAGTAGTCCATGACCGGTTCCCAGCGGGGCAATCGGAGGGTGCGTGATTCGTGAAAGTGATAGAGAAAAGCCGTCGTCAATGTCCTTACTCCTTTACCATCCTCTCGATCGGCTCCCCCCATACCTAAGTAAAAATAAAAATTAAAAAAAAAAAAAAAAAGCTTGCCCACCACCACCAGAACGGCAGAACTAAAAGGTGAAAAAGAAAAGGGAAAAAGATGGTGAAAATTAAAAAGATACTAAAAAGGTTAAAACCAAAACGTGTGAAAGAAAACCAAATCTGATTGCTGTTAGCGTGCAGGAAATTATGGAAAAGCAATTTCTCACTTAATAAAGAAACGCAAAATGTAAAGAAGGAATGACAGTCGACAGCGTATCGTCCACGGGGAAAAAACTCAAAAAGTACGTAACGACGCTTATGTATATCGGAATAACAGATCCATGACTTGTATTCTTTTACATATACTTGCTTTGGACTAAGATTTTAAGGGAGAAGCAGGAGGTAACAAATTAAGCACTTCTCCCAACTTGGAAGGCTCTGGATGTCCGACCGGTTCTCTATCATTCCACGTCTTAATAAGATGGTTGTAGGTCAAACTTGTGACGCTGCAGCTGGCTGCTGGGAATCACGGGATGGCATCCACCTTAGTGTTGTGTTTGTTATGGAGCTAGCTGATTTATTGAATAATTGATAATCCCTAACAATGGACAACGCTTTCATTACATTATAATTTTCAGAATGAATTGAAGCTTATGAAAAGGGAAAGACAAAGGGAATACAGGATAATTACTAGACACCATGCATGAATAGAATGACACTTTTATGTGGCCCATGCATGATGATGCATGTTGTCATCCTATATACTCATCCTCATTTTCCTACATGAACTCACTTTTAGATATAGAAGATCTATACATCACCCAGTTGCAGTCCTCAATGCCCGCAGATCCCCATATGTACTTGGAAGTTTCAAACAATTCATTAGATCGCTCACCTACCCACCCTATTTCTCTAGGGTTGATCAGATTGTCATTTTGTCAGGTCCGAACTCTAACTAGATTGGTATTAGATGGCTTAATTTTTCGTCCTGGTCGAAAATGAGCTAGCCTGGTGCTCGTTGAACCTTCTGACTAATAATAAAATGGTTCAAGACTAGCTAGCTAGGGTGTGAAGCTAGCTTTAAGTTGAGATTATATGTTGCACTATTTTAGATGAATGGCCGGGGTTGGCCTGGTTCCACCAAACACAGACCTACACTCCACGCATTAATTGGAGTTCACATCTACTGGGTCGGTCTGCAGGGTGGCTGCTGCTGCGATCACTCAACTGAATTGAATTGAAGAAATTGAACGTTGAAATTAAAAAGCAGTTCACGTGATGTTTGGAATGTAGATAAAAAAACTGACAGGAATCCAACAGAGTAACAAAACCAAATACCCAATGATTGAAATGATACCCTTAATATCATTCTTGCTTGGGAGAGAGCTCCGGCCATGGCCCAACCCCCCAACCCAAGAAGAGAAATACTGACCCGTGACTTAGAGGAGCGACAGAAATAAAAAAGGGTCACGGTTGCTGCCGGTTTGGCTTTCCCCAAAGTCCCCATTCTTCTATATATTTCTTGTCCCATATCAAACCAAACTTGTACTACTCTACTCTCTTTCTCTTCTTGTTGAGCTAATAAACACCACATTGTTGTTAATAAAAGAAAATCGTTTTCTTCAAGTACAACCGAATTATAAATAATCGCCAAATGGTCGCCGAGGAACACCATCACCATCGCCAATTCGCCATTGGCCGTGGTTAGAGCCACTTCCCCTGCCTGCAACCATAAAAAGGGGTAGACCCTGAACCTACTGTCGGTCATCGTCTCGAATCCCTCGTCTGGCGTAAAAAAGACGCGGCAAACGAGGGAGTAGGGACCCTCCCTCCTTTCCCCTTACCCCCCCCCTCCCACCCCTTTTCACTCTCTATCGTCAATTTCAATTTATATTTTTTATTTATTAAATTAGAATTAGAAAAAAAAAATAAGTAGGCAAGAACAACTACAAGGAAGGACAAATTTGAAATTTGCAAAGAAAATAAATATTAAAGAGAAGAATGTTAATTAATCAAACTATTTAATGGCAGTTCGTTTATCGGGCCACTCAATAACTCAACTACTCCCCTGACTCAAACCACACTCATCCCTCTAGTCTAGGGTGTTTTAGGATTTGGTTCTTCCTTTTACATCGAGATATGAATATGATGATGATGATGATGATCATTAACATTATCATTACGAGAATCATCATTTATGTATTTTCCTCGCTTAAATCCGATAGTCCTCGTCATCTCTCAAATCCAACGGTGAATAACAGATCCGATTTGTTGTTCTACTGTCGGTAGRCAAATTGGACGGTGGAAAATACATTTTGATGGTTGACGCTGGGAAGAATGGAATAATTTGATTGAGGGTCAGACACAGAGAAAGAGAGAGGGGGTGTGTGTATCTGTATGGTGCATGAAGTCGTGGTCATTTCTGGAACCCAGCTGTAGGGTCGGGGTCTGCTGCTTTGTTTTGTCTTTTTACGTCGTCTCTCCTCCTCCGCCTTTTTTTATCTATTCCTCGAAGACATCTCTCTCCATGCTCCCTTATAACACCGAATCATTCTCTTCATCATTATCACGCAAACAAACCCTTTCTCTCATCCCTATTCTCCCCCGTCTTAAAGGAGAGGCGAGAGTCAGGAGGGAGAGGCGAGAGAGCGCGAGCAACTGAGCAAGCGAGTCCGGACTCTGGAAGGGAAACAATGGAAGCATTCTGTTTGAGGGGAATGTTGTCTGGCTCGAGGCCACCAACACTATCAACTGAGGCCGATGGATCGATCTCATCAGATCTAGATAACATAGCTGAGATCACTCAATTAGGTGTAGGTGTCGTCGGACCAGGCTTCATTCCCCTCAATTACTGCTTCCGTTACGACGATCAACCTCATCTTGTCGTTCTTCATTTTTTTTTCTTCCCGCTAAACTGGATCTGGATGTGAGTTTTTTTTTTTTTTTTTTTTTTCTGCAATTTACTTATTTTGAATTACGAGTTATATTCATTAATGGGGTTTGAAATAGTTGGGGCATGAGCAGATTGGTGTAATGATGAAAGATTTTGACTGCTTTCTCTTCCTTTTCTGACGGGAGTTGAGAAAGGTTTTCATCATTGCTCTTTTATGTTTTTTCTAATCTTGTTATCATGGCTGTAGTTTTGTCAGCCTTAACCCTTTTGTGGTTTATCATTGCGCAGATTGTTTTTCATGATACCTTCGAGGATCTGATCTGTCTGTTTCTATATTTTTCTTTTCAGATCATCCTCTGAAACTTTGTAGTTTCTTTTTCTTCTTCTTCCCCCTTTTTTTCTCTTGTTCTAGGGTTCCACTTCCATGGTTGAGATCTAGGTTCTAATTTCTGAACAATATAGTCAAGCTAAACCAAAAGCGGTGAGAAGGGATTGTAATGCTTCTAATGCCTTTGCTTGATTTTTCTTTTCCTTTATGTTTTTTTTTTTATATATATATTTCCATGCTCATATATGATAATTCTCTCCAAATAACATAGTTTGGATGAGCTTTGATATTTATCAAATGTCGATCGTTGATCGAACACTTCCACTGCTGGTATTATTGTTGGATGGCGCTCTTTCAATAAGGTATCGTACATGATCACTTCCTTGGTAATCGATTTATTGATCTCTGCATCTCTTTCTTGTTTTTGTTGTTGTTGTTGTTGTATCTTGTTAATGGTGGTGGACCAGCTTGCATCGTCGTCCTCGTTGTTTTTTTACTTTGTATTTTACCAGTAAGAGAGCTTTATCCTAAGCTTTCCAAAAGAGGATAGTTGATTCCTGGTCGATTTATGCGAGTTTAATGATGGTTTATATTTCTTGCAAATCACATGGCTCAAGTACAATAACTGCACTGCACCATGGGTTTCAAAGAATAAGGATATAACAGCTTCGAGGAATCGAGTCTAATATCCTGATCATTAGGCATAAATCTGTCCATAATCTTTCCAAGATATTCCTCTTTTTAATTTCTGTTTTTCTTTTTTTTTTTTATTTATTCAGTCTCGTGAAGTTGTAATCTATGTTATAGATATTATTCAGAGATACTATTAGCTTTTGTAAAGCGAATGCTGACACTAATTTTATTGCTTAAAGTAAGGTGAGTCAGAGTTGCACGATCATATTGGTTGGAGGATGGAGAGGCATCCAGCTTGACTCATATTTTGGGATACTTTTCTGAATTTCTCCACCTCTGAGCTTCTGCATTCTACTCTTTTAGATATTGTATGTACGTATTTATGAAATGTGAAATATATGTATATATAGCAAATCGTTTTTTCAAGGTTTTATCTAATTTTTCTTTTCATTGGATGTAGTATCAAGTATTCTGGACACATTATCAAACAGGAAAAACACTTAAAATGTGATATGCAAGTATGGAATCCATTTATGTGCATTTTGCAGAATTCATTTGAAGGCTCTAGGCTTGTTAGGCTTTAGTGGTTCAACCTTCAACGTTTTAATGGAGAGATATGTAAATGGTTATTGCTTTGTCTGAAGTATTACTATACTATTACCAGTGCTTCAGGCCAGTACAAACAGAAACAGAATGAAAAGATCGGAAAGATTGGTAAGATATAAGTCATCTGCGAAGCACGTGGTATCGCTCTTGTGCTGGTGCTCGTGGAGGGGGGGGGAGAGGGGTGTCTCGTGTGTGCGGCTCGTGAGTCGTGAAAAAAAAATCTATCTGACTGAGTGAAGGTATAGCGTATAGGTAGGAGTGTGTGTGTATGTGGAGTGTGGAGTGGGAACATATGGAAAAGATTCTTGGGAACAGAAGCCAAAGAGAGAATCCTTCTCTTTCTCAAATCGCATTCTCTCTCTACCATTATATTAACAAAAAGTACATACCTCACATAACGTCAGCAGCTACGCCAATGGCCCAATGCCATGGATTCATCGAGTCTTTAATCCCTGACTACTCTTAAATGTGATCTTTACACGAATTCGTCAACAACTTGTTTTGCAAAACAATCTCAAAATTCAAATTTGAACACCGTTTAGAACAATGTCAGTTGGACTTGTCAACGCCCCAATTTACTATCTAGGGTTTATCTTTTTTCTATTAGCTTTAGAAGATGAGCAAACCTCCATCAACTATACTTTTTATGGGAATTGGAGAGATCATATAGGTGGCGTGTTACTACTTACACCAGTAAAGCCAAATCCTTCCATCTGCTTTTCTTTGACCACTCTTTTTTTTTTCTTATTTTCATTTTGTAACAAAAATATTATTTAATGAATTGTAGACCAGACGTGTCCCCTCATAGAATAGAAAGTGTGGTAAATCATGAATGCGAGTCACAAGGTGGAATCACAGAATTTAATGGTAGATGAATGTACCAATTAGGTTAATGTTGCAATTACTTTTATTAATTACTTATGACCAACAAATGTACCAATTAGGTTAGTTAAGAGGGAAGTGAAATGCCAGATTTAATAGAGGAATCTAATATACGAAATTAGCAAGTGATGAGATTGGAAAAAAAAAAAAAGTTTAATTTAGAAACAAGCGCACAACTAATTTCTTCTATACTCACTTTTTTATTCGAGTATTGAGAATATTGTGCTTTATTTACACCCTTAGGATCTGTGAATTATTGATATATGCGATTTGGCATTAATGGGGAACTGCCTTTTGGGAGGTTGGGATCTTTTTGGCTCTCAAGACTTTGCATATATAAAGTGGAATTCGTATTCGTTTTGGCTTGAACTTTGGGACATGGTAACCTTTGTTTGTGTTTCCCACTCCGAGAGGTGCACTACTAATTATCTCATATCATGACCCCCTCCCCAATGGTGCCATTCTTAAAAGAAAATTTGAGAATTGCATCCCCATGAAAGGATGTTAAAATGGCCAATCTCGTCACCAAATGGTATAAATGCTGGTTACTATTACATCTTCGGAGCTTCCACAGAATTAACCATCTCTTCAATCTCGTGACTCACTGCTCCCTCTTACAATACCCTTTGAATAGTCTCCTCCTCTACGTACAACATAAGGGAATGGTAAAAGGAAGAAATTCCACACTGCAAATCTTGGCGGTCCATGAACAGGTCTATTGGTGGTGTATGGGATTGAATATGGTAAAATTAAAGTGGTATCCTGTACACAATGTTTCAAATGTAATGTGTGCCGTACATGCGAAAGTAAGAAGATGGAATCCTTTTGAACCCTCAGAAGAGTTAGTATCCTAATTCCTAATTAAGCGTTGATCCGCTCGTCCTACTTTCTTTAATTTTTATCACAGTTCAAGTCGCCATAGTAATGAAATGGTACGTAAAGTCTGTAGAAACATTTTCTTGGCAGAAGATGCTTATATAACCAGATTCATACTTTAGCTAGCAAGTTGTGACATTAGAGGTTTATCAAGACAGGAGTCGTACCTGGGTCCGGGCCCCTCAAAACTTGGCTTTGTGTTGCTTTTCCCGAGGATTAGGACTATTCGTTGGATGGTCCCACCTACCTAGGAGATCAATTGGGGGACAAATCAGCTTGCACAGATGACTCCAAGCGTCTCTGTATGATTTTCATTGTATTTATTCAGATGATGAATAAAGTTTCTGTTGAAATTCAACAGGACTCGGAATGTAATGTTCAAATACCAAACTAGATGGTTAAAATGAAATCCATTTGTCAGTCTTTTAGTCCTGCTACATGGGACACCTGGCAAGTTTTTTTTTTTTTTTTTCTTTTTACGGTCTATCGCGGACCCATGTAAACAACCTGAGTTAAGAAGAAATGGAACTAATTTTGTCATTTCATCATTCTAATGGGTATTAAATTGAAGGGCAATATGTTAATGTTACATGTTTGGCCTTTTTCTTTTTCCCGCTTGTAGTTTATTAACCATCTCCTGGGCGGGTACCAGACCAGTAGACCACCAGGTACCATCCCCTCTATTGGTTCTCTTCTTGCCAACTTAACCCACTCCTTTTGGAAATCCAATCAAGCTGTATAAAATAGCGTTTCTTTTTTCAGTACCAGTGTCACACAATCACAGATAGTGTTTTAATAACCGAACCAGACACTAATTCGTTTTTTTCCCCGGGTGGTGGGCCAGCGGTTCAATTGCCCATTTTGAATGGATCAACCTGTGATAATAGGTGTAAATCGGGCCCTCTCACCCTTCCCTAGGATAACTTAGGGGGTGGGCCCCGCATGGCCCATGGCCCAAGCCCATGTGGGCTCGTGCTGTGGGCCGGGCTGGTCCGTGGGTCAAGCCTTGGGCCAGGTCGGGCCGTGGACTAGGCCAATGCTATTTATTTAAAAAATTTGAAAAAAAAAAACTTAAAATTTTAATTTTATATGAATTTTGATATATACAATTGTTTATATACACAATAATTGAATAAATTAATATAATAAAATTGAAAACATTTGTTTATTTAATCAATATATTATATACTATATATTATTACATAATTATAGTTTATATAAATATAATATATATATATATATTATATCTAACATAAATAAATAATATATATGGGCGGTGTTGGGTTGGGCCGTGTTGGCACGCGGGCCGCGGGTGGCCCAACCTGCGTGTCGTCGTGCCATGCCATGCCAGGCCGGTCGGGACAGGCTATGCCAAGCCGCGGGTGGCACGACCCAATTTACACCTCGCCTTATGATATTAGGGTAAATTACATGCCCCCCCCCATACTTACAGCCGTTAGACAAAGACCTTCTTCATTTCTATCTATTAACTTCGAAAAAGATTCTTGATTAACTGTTTAAAGTTTTCTTGTGGGTGTTTGGCATTGATGCCATTTTATGAGAAAACGGTGCCATGTAAGCACTACATTAGAAAAAGCGGTGCTTAAGACAACGGCATTTTATTTGGTGTTGTTTTTCCATAAAAAACATTGTCTCAGATCACGTTTTAAAAATCGGAAAAGTATAGTCTGAAACAATATCAAATTTGATATTTTCTCAGAAAACAGCTTATTAGTGCGGRCAATACAATGATGTGGCATCATCTTGAACATTGAATAATATGACCAATGATGAAAACAATTTTATAGCACTAGTACCAAATAAAATCAGTGCTTGTGGCAATATCACTTCCAAACAAAAAATAAACATTTTTCTGACAAAACGGTGCTTAGAGTTCACACAATCACAACACCGTTTTTATGAGAAAACAGTGCCGTGTTCCCAGCACTGACGCCAAAAACCTACCTAAATGCTCAAACTACCCCTTTCTTTACACTGTAATATTCATTTTGCGTTCCACCAAAAAATGCTTTGTTGTTGACGAGAAGCAGATCAATATGGCTTCTCTCGCTAATCGCTACTGGGAGTCCTCTGTCACAAAGTCCGGCGACGACGAAGATGATGATTAGGACGGAAAGGATGACAAAGACGAAGATTGAGAAGCCAAAATAATGAATAAGTGAACATCGTAGACACTAGAGAGTAAGATCGAAGAAGAAGCTTAGTCTTCCCTCCCGAGATATCTCTGTCTCTTTTCCAGCAATCTCGCTCAAGTCTTCCCCATTGATGTCGTCTTCAACTGCTTGGCCATTAAAGCATTCACGCCGTCTCGCACGAGAAATCTCATGAAAAAGTTGCAGAAAAGGTCATCCCCTCCGCTTTATAACCCATTAACATCTACAATCCCTTTACTTCAATCTAGACCTTCCAGGTTTCCCAAAATCTCCTCTCCCCGCTTCTTTCAGGAGTCGAAGATGATGCAGAACAATGGCAGACCACCTTTGTTCTCTGTCATCCACCGTCTATGCCGTTGAATGGGAAATAAATGCATGGGATCTGCTTTCCCCTCCCCAGGGCCAGTCGTGAGGATGAAGATAACGATGAGATGCCCTGAATCACCAAGCATGTGGGCTCCTGGGTTCGCCCCGAAAGCCCTCTCCAGTCCCTGTTCTGGTGAAGAATTCTAACGTTAGTGCCGACTTCTACTAAATCTGGGCTCTTAGCCACCAGCACCTCTTGTCTTAAACATTTTCCGACTGTAAAGATGGGACATTTGTCAAGACAAAATGGAAAGTGAGAAGGTGTATGTAATTTCGACTCTACCATTCAAATTATGCCATTCCTTATATTAACTACAGAACAAAAATATCCTCTTCCTGTGTTCCTTGCTTGATTCTTCTCCCTTTTAAATTGGGAGCAAAAGAACTTGTAACCTCTGCAATTAATCATCTTTAAAAAATCCCAAAACTACTATCAAATGGATCAGACCCAACAGATCTCAGGTTTCATTTCTTTAATCGAATGAAAGAGAATTATCAACAATTATACTAGAACTAATCCAATTCATTCAATTTCAAGGAGGGTTATTAACATTGTATATTTCAGAGGGATGCAACCAAAGAGCGTGGACAAAACTGTCTTTGGGATTACACAACTTCAACCGCTGTACAATGCAA